TTCAGGCACTACCGCGACTAAAGTTTATGCATAAGTCCAACTTAAATAGAAACTAATATAATCCCATCTTAAAATTATGCATTGCTAAAGGCATAATAAAATTGCATAATTTAAAACATAATATTATGCTTAGGACAAATATGCATAAGTTAAACATTAAACTCATATATTCCAAATAAATTGCATAACTTAAAGCAATTTACAATATGAGATTTTAAAGTATAAATTTACTATTCAAACACCAATGAGTCCAAACCAAAAGAGACTCAAAATTTTGAATAATAATGTATTGAATATATACTTTAAAAAATTTTTAAACTGTAAGCTCATGGCAAAAAGTTTTAATGCATAATGATCAAATTTATGAGAAATAACTGAATTTACAAATTCAAACAATATCAAAACAAAAGGATATGCTATCATTCGTAAATCAAATTCTCATGAACCCTAATTGCATAATTAAACTTAATATTATGCATTTAATATGATCGAATGCATAAAACAATCTAAAAAGTATGAACCAACTAAAAAATATGAATTTAAATCAAATATTCATCTATTCATACTTAACCAAATATGGGCAATCATAACTCAAAGAACTAAATGAATTATGGAATTAATGGCAATAGTCGATTGCCTAGAAAATATGTTTTTCCAAGATTACTAAATTGATTCAAAATCACTCTCCATAACTCAGTTAATAATAATAATATTATTATTAATGGCAAAATTGCAAATAACCAAAATAGCAATAAATAGCCATAATAATATTATCACATTATGTATGTAGGAGACTAAATATGGAAAAACAATGGTTAAAATCGCTAACACTTATAAATGTTTTCGGATAAAATTTTGAAAACTTAATAAAATTTGAAGTCCGAAAAATATTAATGTCCAGAAAATTATTTTCTGAACTGGAGTATTGTCACATAAATTTATTTGGAAACAGTTCAAGATGCATAACTGAATACCATAGCAACATTAATGTTATCATTAATTAATTATTAATAGCAATAAATAACATTATAATCACTATTAACATTAATAATAACGACAAACTAAAGTATGGTAATGCACCTTTAAATGTTTTCATTCTCTAAAGATAAAATATGTGACTAGTCCAAATTAGCGGTTAACTGTAACTGTAGCACTAATTATCAATAGTAACTGTAAAAGATCATTAATGGCTAACCTTAATGATGCAAACCGCATCTCTCCATTGCGCTAACAACGATGATGATCCACAAGAGAAGAAAAAACTCCAAAGTTCTCCCATCTTCATTGTCGGTGTCACTAGCCTCGATGCAGCATCCAATGGTACATTTAAAATTTATTGGTAGGACTTAATTACCAACATTAATAGTCATGTGAAATGAAGTGGTAATCATGCCAATGTACCAAATATAGCAGATTACCATGAAATAATACTTATTATGAAAGGTAATAAAATAAGATTAGTCCCTAAACTTAATAACAGTAATTAATAATGCCGAATTTTAACTTAATAAATGGCAAAACTGTAATTAAGGGATGCCAAATACTAATCTCAATTTATCACATAATAATTAACCATGACTATTATGATACTTAGGGAGACTGTAGTTAAGGTAATAACCAAATTACCATTAAACAAACAATATACCAACTATATTGTTTTTGCCATAAAATTAAAGACTTAATATTATTATTAAGGCCCTGAAACTATTGATAGATTAAAAAATTAATCAACTTAAACAATAGTTATAGTTCTTAATGGCCAAAATAACAATTAAATCCTTAATGTCTCTAAACAGGCCAAAATAATAATTATAGCACTTAATCACTCAAATTAGGCACATAAACCTCAATGACCCAAGTGAATTATAACATGGATGGACATTGGTCTAATACTGAAGTAGACCCAAAACTTAATATTATTACCAACGATGAATACCAAAATATGGTAGTTAGTAATAATTAAAACTTAATAAACATGTTATAAGGAGCTATAATTATTATTAAAATATCAATCAAAATTGTGGGATCCATACTTAATGACCCATGATAGGTCCCAAATAGCTTGTTCAAAATAGGTTCTAAAGTCCCAGAGACACATGATACTAAAATGTGCTCAAAATTAATGGGAGACCAAAACAAGCTACCTTAATAGACCATAGACCATAATGTCCAAAAGTGATCTAAAGATTGAAAATTGAATGATATTTTAATAATGAATTTATGAGTTAATAATATGCTAAATCCAACCTTAATACATGCTATTAAGAATGTATAATTATAACAATAATTTATGAATATACGTAGCATGTTTGGATTTGCATATTAATTTATTATTAACCCATATATCCTAAATAAATTGCAATACTTAAGGCAATTTAATATAAACCTCAATATTAAATTAAAATTCAAATAGCAAATTCAATACTTAATATTTGCTCAAAATTGAAAGATAATTTAATAATAAATTAATTTAATCAATTGGCTAGAAAAAGTCTAAATATGATGATGGAGAAGCTGAAGCAAGCCCAATGCAACAAAGCAGGCCCAAGATTTATTTTTTTTTAATGTTGGATCAGGTCTGCCCCAATGGGCCTGACCTGACCCAAAACTTAATATAACCCATCATCATCTTCATCTTTAATCAACCATAAAGCCTACTGCCTTGGTAAATCTGCAGCGTCGTCCGACAGTCACTCTAGGCAATAGAATTTTTTTTATTTTTATTTTTTTTGGGCAGAAACTATAACCTTCTCTTAAATGCCGAAATCAAATATCAGCAAACCAAAAAAAAAAAAAAAAACAATTATTTGTAATTAATTCAATCAAAACATACATGTGAAATTGCTCAATTATATCTAGACTAAATAGATTTTTTTTGAATGTAGATTTTGAAGAATTAATATACATTAAAATCATCCTTAATGTTGAAATTGAAACAAAATCAACTAAAAATTAATTCTAGCCTGTCTTAAACCAATTACGGATAATCCATTCAAAATATACATAATATTTTACTCAATTATATCAAAAGATATATTTTTATATGCATATTTTGATGAATTAGAATGAATGTAATTGAAAACCAAAGCATATACTAAACTTCATGTATATGAAATCTTACAAGTTTTACATAAGTTACCATGTTTTAATTTGGTTGATTTTAAAACATAGATTAGCTAGTTAGATTATTATATATGTAATATATATTTCAGTAAATTAAAGAGCAACATTTTCCTTGTATATTTAAATTGATGCAAAATCATATATATCATCTACAAATAGCATGAAGAGGCCTGCATTCATAAAGGACATAATAGAAAAATGGAACATCCAATTCTACGTTATGGCTAGCCTTGTGTTCCAAATAATACTGGTTTTCCTTAACCGATGAGAAGATGGTTAAACAACGGATTCATGTATATGGTGATCTGGGCTGTGTATTTACTCGCAAGCTTCTTTTCCACCTTCACCTTATCTCTCATGGATGTGATACGAGTGTACAGGTGTATAATGTAATCCTTAGGAAATTGGAAGTTATGGCAAGCAATATTTGACAACATAACAACTAGACACTAATCTTAAGAAATGCACTAGAAGCTAAGAAAATCGTAACGAGGTTAATGTTATGGTAACTAAACAAAATAACACAAACACATATTAACAAAAGATAAATATGAAATAAAGAAATAAGTCTCAAGCTAGAGAGAATTATCATCTAGATACTTTAGCAACATATGGGATTATGGAGAACAAGTAACCAAGGATCAATCACGAATGCACATATGTATCCTAGTCTAAAGTCACTTCCATGAGCAAACAAATAAATAAGGATTAGAACAAGAAATTGTTTCACTCTCATGGTGTTCCAAGTCCATCAACGCGCGACACGTGTCCAGATCTAATAACTTAAAAAAAACGCGGTGGCATTTTCGTAAATAATTGAACATCGAAGTGCAAGTAAAATCTCTTATAAGTGCACCTATTTTCACCTATAAGTGCATGTAATTTTGCCTTGTTAACATTCACTTTCCGCAACCATTCATGCACCTGGGTGTGCTTATAACTATAGGTGCAATTATTTATAACTATAGGTGCAACTACTTATAACTATAGGTGCAACTACTTTCACCTATAAGTGCATGTAATTTTGCCTTGTTAACATTCATTGATCTGAGTTCAGCGGGTAGTAATACTCCTGAAAACCACTCGCAAACATTCATACACCTAGATGCAACTACTTATACCTATGTGTGCAACTACTTAGAACTATAGGTGCAACTACTTAAAACTATAAGTGCAACTAAGTATTGATGCTCAGTGTAAATTTTTACTTGCACCTCTAATACATTTTAGATGCACTTGTAATACATTTTACTTGCACTTCGATGTTCAATTATTTACGAAAATGCCACCGCGTTTTTTAAAAAAATCAGTGTTTCTCATCCATTAGATCTGGACACGTGGACGAACAGAATCCATTCCTATTTCGCGCCTGGGCGAGCCGTTCGCACCCGAGTGTAACTCTATATATATATATATATATGTGTGTGTGTGTGTGTGTGTGTCAGAGATCGACAACAAACGGCACACTTGTTAGTTGTGCGCTTTTTCAAACTGAAAAAGAAGGTGAAACAATAAAAACCTCTTAATGTCGCTTTAAGGTGATCTGTCAAATTAATTGATAAGCTAGTATGTAGGTGGGAGAAATTCTATTTAAATCGACTAATTAATAATATTACAATAATACATCAGTATTTGATAAAAGAATAGGAAATTTAATGATCCACTCGTGAAACTCGTGCATGGTGGGGAATAGAAGAGAATAAAGTATAAGCATTATTGTATTGTTAAGGTAAGCTAAGTATTTTGAGATATTTTGTGTTTGAATTAAGGAATATAATAATGTGAGCAACACTTAGCTTGAGTAGCTTGTTATCTATATTCTCATTCTATGCTTATAAATAAAAATTACTTTCCATGATAACTAATACGGAGTAACAAAAACACATATACAAGGATAAGCTAAGGACCACCTACATATAAAAGCTAAGCCAGCAGGTAAGTTTACTCACTTATTTAATTATTAGCATCAATATAGTATAGTTCTATCATAAAACTTTGTGCAAGACGGTCTCACGAGTCCTCAATCTGTGAGATCTTTATTTAATGATGTCAAAGATCTAACCTGTTGCAGGGATTAAGACTCTGAGACGGTCTCACACAAGTGTTACTCTAGTTGATAATATTCGAATATGTGCTTAAGGTGAAACTTGTGTGACGAACTTGGCTTTACATAAGCTAAGATATACCATTTTTTGGATTTGGTTGATTTTGAAACATAGATAAGCTGGTTAGATTATGCATGTGATATATATTTTCAGTAAATTAAAGAACATTTTCCTTGTATATTTAAATTGACGCAAAATCATATATATCATCTACCAATAGCATGAAGAGGCCTCCATTTATAAAGGACATATTGGAAAAATGGAATATCCAATTCTACGTTATGGCTAGCCTTGTGTTCCAAATGATACTGATTTTCCTTGCGCCGATGAGAAGATGGGTAAAGAACGGATTCATGTATCTGGTGATATGGGCTGTGTATTTACTGGCAAGCTTCTTTTCCACCTTCGCCTTATCCCTCATCTACAACGACGCACCAGATGAGGTGAGTGAATCTAACATCTTCCCTTTCTGGGCGCCGTTTCTTCTTGTCCACCTGGGCGGCCCTCACACCATCACTGCACTGGCCATGGAGGACAACAATTTATGGCACCGCCATTTGCTCACCCAAGTCGTTCAGATCTGCTCAGTTTCGATCGTCTTCTACCAATACAAAATCTTCCAAAGCGAATGGCTGCTCCCCATGGCCATCGTCTTCCTCGTCGGAATCGTCAAGTGCGTTGAGCGCATCATCTCTCTCCAGCTCGCGTCTTTCAATTTCGTCAGGAAGTCCATCCGGCGCCAAGATTCTAAGAAGCCTCCTCCTCCTCCTCCTGCTGCGGGGGTACTTGACAAGTACGAGATTGTAAGGTGGGGTTACGAGTTCTACCAAACTTTCAAAGGCTTCATCATTGATCACACGTTTATCCATGAAAAGGAGTGTGGGACGGAGAAGGAGTGGTTCCGCAGCATAAGTGTGAAGAATGCGTTTGAAGTGATGGAAATGGAACTCAACTTCATGTATCAGGCCATGTTCACCAAGATGATTGCGGTCCAGTACTGGGAGGGTAAGGGTAACTATTTCTGGTCCATATGGCGTTTTCTGTGTCATGCTTTACTTATAACCGTGGCGGTCATCTTCTTCTGCCATTCCAAACACAATCTTCAGCCTGCTGACATTTATATTACCTACTGCTTGCTGGGCGGTGCGCTTCTGCTGGACGAGATAGCTCTCATTCATCTCATATTTAGCCACTGGACAATCGTTAAAATAATGAATTCTCATTATTATAATAATAAGGAGGTGGTGGTGAGAAACAAAATTCTCCCAGTCATTTATGGTGGACTGGAAGTTATTACTATGAAAAAGTGTTGGTCAGGGGAGATTATACAGTACAGTTTGCTGAAGCACTCGTTAAAAGGACGGTGGAAATGTGCAGAGCCCAAACTGGAATTCTATTCACTCAAGGAAGTTATTGATTCCTGTCTGCACACTACAACCGCCGAGGTTGGAGACAGTTTAAAGGAGTTGGTTTTCGAGGACATCAAAAGGAAGCTGGCAAAAACAGAAATAAACAACAACTACGAGGAAGATGTCTGGAATCACTTGCAGGGTGGTCAGGTGGCGAGACTGCATGTGGTCATGGACAAAATACAATGCCTCGTTCGGGACCGGAATCCCGACGACGACTACTACGCCACGTTTGTGTTAATCTTGCATCTTGCTACTGAGATATGCTACTTCACCCACGGGAAAGGAGACAGTGAAGAAAGCGCAAAATTGTGCATACAAATCTCCCAATATTTGGCACACCTTCTAGTGTTGGAGGGGCAAATCACGTCCGCACTGCCGGGAAGTATAGGAATGAGATTCAAAGATATTTGTCGGGATCAAGTCCAGGACACCTTTGACCACCTCTACTATACCTTCAAAACAGCAGGTACACGTACAGGTACAGGTACAGGTACGACTTGATTTAAGATCATTTTCAGGTGGTCGGAAATTCTATAATTTCCAGTAGTGTTTATTTTCTTATACAGTTTGGAGATATTGGATGCTGGATTTGACCCTTTAAACCCTTTATTACTGTTGGTCGTCTTTACCTGCCTCCACCCAACAAGTTTTACCCCACCTCTCGAACAATCTTATTAATTACATGCATATATATGTGCATACAGGTATATGGTGTTGGAAGCGAACAAGTAGACAGAAAGCCTGTGAATGCCTGATAAAGGAGGGGTGCAGTACAAGCAAGAAATCAGTGTTGCCTAAGGCTGTTGATCTTGCAAGGGAAATGAACAGACGATGTAGTGCAGATCCAGAGGCTGGGAAACAGTTCTGGGGAGGTCTGAGTGAAGTGTGGGTAGGGTTGCTGGTGTATGTGTCGAGAACTCAATAGTTCTTCATTGTAAACCAGTAGTCAGAGAGAAGGAAAAATGATGTGCATTATTGGTGATCTGAAAATGAGTACAAAAGCCTAGTGTGAAAAGGGAAAGGAAGCTACTGTTATATACAAACTGCTATGGCAGTTATAACAGAAAAGGAAAGAGGAGAAAAGACACAAAAGTCCTTCTAGATGTGAGGCAGATTAGATAGCTGAGAAGGCTTGAGCTAAGTATGCTTCATCACCCCCCCCGTAAGCTGGAGCATGAACATCTTGAAGGCCCAGCTTAGAGTGGAAATCATCAAACAACACTATTGGCAAAGCCTTGGTGAAACCATCAGCAAGCTGTTTTTGTGAGGGAACTGACATTAGCTTTATAACTCCTTCATATACTTTCTGCTTAACAACATGACAATCTATCTCAATGTGTTTAGTTCTTTCATGGAAGACATGATTCTCTCCAATGGCAATTGCAGACTTATTATCACAAAATAGAGCAGTGGGGTTGTTAGGCTTGACTTTCAGATCTGCAAGCAAGTATAAAAGCCATTGGACTTCACAAACAGTGGATGCAAGGGCCCTATACTCAGCCTCAGAAGATGATCTAGAGACAGTGGCTTGTTTCTTTGTTTTCCAAGAGATTAAGGACTTGCCAAGATAAATACAATAGCCTGTGACAGATTTCCTGGTTTCAGCACAAGTAGCCCAGTCAGAATCAGAGAATCCTTGTAGCTTCAGTTGAGAATTTGCTGGATAAAACATCCCTTTCCCAGGTGCCCCTTTCAAGTACCTCAACACTCTGTGAGCAGCCATGAGATGAGTGTTCCTAGGTTTGTCAACATATTGACTCAACTGCTGAACTGCATATGTGATTTCAGGTCTGGTATTTGTCAAGTATAGTAACTTCCCAACCAATCTTCTATAAACTTCTGGTTTATCAAGTGGTGTACCCTCAAGAGAATTGAGTTTCTGGCCTGCAGTAATGGGAGTCTTAGCAGGTTTAGCATCCATGAAGCCATACTCCTTTAGGATTTCCAAGGTGTATTTTCTTTGGCAAATGTTGAGACCATTAGTGGATCTGAGTGCTTCAATCCCCAGAAAGTAGTTCAAATGTCCAAGATCTTTGATCTTGAATGTCTTATCCAAAAATTGTTTCAATCTGTTGATCTCTGCTGAGTCTGTTCCTGCAACCAATATATCATCTACATAGATGAGAAGAGCCATAAATGAAGTGCCTGAGCTTTTGGTAAAGAGGGATGGATCTGCAGTGGACTGTTGGAAACCAATATCAAGCAAAGCTTTAGTCAACTTGGCATTCCATTGTCTGCTGGCCTGCTTTAGGCCATATAAAGATCTCAACAACTTACAAACTTGCTGCTTGTTATTTTGAAAACCAGGGGGTGAGATCATATATACTTCTTCATCTAAGTCTCCATGTAGAAAGGCATTATTGATGTCTAGTTGTTGTATATCCCATTCTTTTGCAACTGCCACAGCTAGGAAAGTTCTAATTGTTGTCATTCTAGCCACAGGAGAAAAAGTCTCCACATAGTCCACTCCAAACTGCTGAGTATAACCTTTTGCCACCAATCTGGCCTTGTGTCTTTCTATGGAGCCATCAGCTCTATGCTTCACTTTGTACACCCATTTGCAACCAATTGGGGTTTTGCCTAATGGTAGGTCAGTAAGCACCCAAGTCTTGTTTTCAACCAATGCATCTATTTCACACTGCATTGCTTTCCTCCATGCTTCTTCTTTGACTGCTTCATTATATGATTGTGGCTCTTGTGTGTTCAAAATGGAGTTTGCACAGGCCCTGTGGCATGGAGATAGAGCATCATATGATATAACCTTGTTAATGGAGTGTGGGGATGACCTGTTGTGGAGGCTGCCTGTGCTCAGAGAATGACAATAGTAATCTTGTAACCTTGCAGGTATGTGTCTTGTTCTTTCTGATCTTCTTGGTTCTGAGATTTCATCTGTTTGAATTGATTCATGCTGTATCATAGTGTTATCAGTTGCTTCATTGTTTGTGCTGTCATGAGTATCCACACTATCAGTAGTGTGGGATGAAAGGCTTGATCTGCTAACTCTCTCTAATGGTTCAGTGTTGTGGACTATAGGACTAGGAGTGGCAGCCTCTCCTAGTATTTGATTCTGGTTGTCAGTAGTATCCATATGTGGCAAGTTAACCTCAATGGAGACTGGGACCAAAGGCAGCACAGGACCAGACATATTCTTTTCACCATAGACTTCAGATTTGTCCTCCTTAAAAGGATAAATGTGCTCATAAAACTGAACATCCCTGGAGATAAAAACATTTTTGTTAGCAATATCATATAACACATAGCCCTTTACATTTGCAGGGATCCCCAGGAATAAACACTTCTTGGCTCTTGGCTCCATTTTACTTCTGCCATGAGACATAGTGGAACCAAAACATAGGCATCCAAAAGCTTTGAGATGATGATATTCCACAGTTCTGCCAAACAACAACTCAAAGGGGGGCTTCTCACCAGGTATAGCAGGAGGTAATCTGTTAATTAGGTAGATGGCATGCATAACACAATGGTTCCAAAATTCTACAGGCACTCCAGATTGAAATCTGAGAGCCCTGGCTACATTCAAGATATGCTGGTGCTTTCTTTCTGCCACCCCATTTTGTTGGGGTGTGTAGACACAAGATTTCTGATGCACAATTCCCATCTCATTACAAAATTCATTCATTAGAAACTCAGTTCCATTATCTGTCCTTATGATCTTGACTTTAGTAGAAAACTGATTCTGTACATAATTACAGAAATTCTTGAATAAGTGTTTAACCTCTGATTTGCTTCTCATGAGATGCAGCCAAGTGAACCTACTATAATCATCCACAATTGTCAAAAAATAGTGTTCTTTATTTATAGAAGCAACAGAGAATGGACCCCAGACATCCATATGTAAGAGGTCAAAACATTTTTCAGACCTAGAAATGCTAACTGGAAAAACAGACCTTCTTTGCTTTGCATAATGACATGTTTCACAGACAAAGTTAGATGGTTTACAGAATTGACCATCATTTATTCCATTCAAAGATGGTATCCTACTTATAGGATAATGTCCTAGCCTATGATGCCATAGATGCAAAGAAGCACTACTGCATTTCATCATCTCATCATCAGCTGGACAGACCTTTCTTTTTGGTGGATCAGTGATCACATATAAGCCATTCCTTTGTTCAGCAAACCCATCCATCATCCCAAAATGACCCTGAATGTTACATGAATCAGTAGTCATTATGATTTTGCAGTCCCCTTGTTTAGTTAACTTGCTGGCAGATATGATATTGAATGTGAATGAAGGGATGAACAACACATTGTTTAACAATAGGTTTGACTGCAGTCTAATTTCACCTATATGTGTCACACTCACTGTTCCTTCATTAGGCAATTTTACAGAAACTCCACAAACTCTGTGATATCTTTCAAAATAATCTAATGAGCATGTAATATGATCAGTAGCACCTGAATCTAGGATCCATATAGCAGAACAAGATATAACATTATTAATGTGTGGATCAGAAGTGAACCTGCCTTCATTGGATCTTGATTGCTTTTCATGGCTGTTCATTGTTATGGCTGCATTTGAGGAGACTGATTTCGCTTGTTTCTGACCATGCAACAGACTCACAAGCCTCTGGAATTGCTCAGTGGACAATCCTATATCCCCAACCTGATTGATAGCACTGCTCTGAGCCTCTTGATTTTGTTTGCCTTTAGATTTGTATCCTGGTATCCAACCAGGAGGATAACCATGCTTTTTAAAGCATTTCTCAACAGTATGACCACTCATGTTGCAGTAAGTACATTTGGCTACATTCTTTCCACCATTGTTACCAAATTTCTTCTTATTATTTGAAGCAGAAAAGGCCACAGTTCCACTGTCTTCTGTGGACTGTCCTAGGCTATTCTGAACTGCATTAGATTGGAGGACTTCATTGTTCCTTTGATTGAGAGATCCGTTTATTTTCCTTTCTACTTTCAAAGCCATATTAAGAACTTTCTCCATGGTTGGGATTGGATCCATGACTAGGACCCCTGATTTTATGGATTCAAACTCGTCATTCAATCCTTCTAGAAACCTGATGACCTGATCATCTTCTTTCTCCTTCTGAATCTTGCTTATCAACTTGCACGAGCATCTAGGGCTACATTCACACACTGGCAGGGGCCTCATTGCCTTCATCTGCTCCCATAGAGCATTACACTTTGTAAAATACTCATTTATAGACTTGTTACCTTGAGTATTTCTATATATTTCATTTTGTATTTCAGCTATCCTATGTGGATCAGCTTGTGAATATCTATCTCTGAGCTTGATCCAAATTTCTTCTGCTTTCTCATAGTAAAGGACCGTCTCAGCAATGGTGGAGTTGACGGATCTAAGGATCCATGAACAAACGATTTTGTTGCATCTAGTCCAGGCAGCAAATCTGGAGTCTAACTGCTCTGGACAAGGAACTGAGCCATCAACTAGGCCAAACTTGTTCTTCACTTGTAAGGCTATCTTCATGGATCTGCTCCATGAAGCATAGTTGAGCTCAGTTAGAGGAGGAGAAACGAGAATCATGTTAGGATTCTCAGTTACGTGAAGATAGAGAGGATCATCGATCTCATCTCCTCGCAGATTCGCGCCTTGATTCGTCGTGTTCTGGTTTGGAGATGTATTTCCGATTCCTGCTGGATTGTTTCCGGTGCTCATCGCTATGACGGCGGCGTAGCTTCGGCGAGGCTCTGATACCATGTGGAGAACTCAATAGTTCTTCATTGTAAACCAGTAGTCAGAGAGAAGGAAAAATGATGTGCATTATTGGTGATCTGAAAATGAGTACAAAAGCCTAGTGTGAAAAGGGAAAGGAAGCTACTGTTATATACAAACTGCTATGGCAGTTATAACAGAAAAGGAAAGAGGAGAAAAGACACAAAAGTCCTTCTAGATGTGAGGCAGATTAGATAGCTGAGAAGGCTTGAGCTAAGTATGCTTCATCAGTATGCCTCCAGCCATTGTAGAGGAGATGTTTACTACCTCAACAAAGGTGGACAGTTTTATACATTTGTTCGCCTTTTGATGGCTCATTTTGGGCTACGAGGAAGCTAAGCCTCAAAGGTGAAAGTTCAATTCATTTCAACTCCACAATGAGATTCAATTCATTATTAATAAATATACTATACGGAGTATATAATAATGCTTGCTTAATTATTATTATATTCTTCTGTATATGTATAAAAAGTGTGCAGTGGGTGATGATCATATCCAATTGGTACGGTCAAACCAAAGTTGTATTTTTAAAGTTTAATTTATCTTAGAATGTACATGAAGATCAGAGTGAGTGAATGTGCAGTGTCATGCATGTACTATACCCTTTAATGGGTTGTGTCATTTTTCATTTAAATAATGGTATATTGTGTGCTTTTTATACTATTGTACATTTATTTACCAAACATCTTTCTATAAATATCTGATGTTGCTACACTATGCATCCGGCCATGATAAATTAAACAACAAACAACACAAATAAACAATATTAAAAAAGAAAAGTCTCAGGTTCAAGTCTAATCCCAACCAAACTAAATGTCGATATAATTTGTTGAGCAACTACTATAGAGAGGTTAGAGTATGCTCAAAAAATATAAAATAAGTTATGAATAATGAAATAGTTTTCTCTTTAAGTTTGGATGGAGTTGCTGCTTTATACAACTAGCCATTGCGGAGGAGATGTTCAATAATACTTGAGTAGAGGGGAAGAGTTTATTACATGAGTAATACTATATTTATTCTCACTTTTTACTTCCTGAGGTAGATGTTATGTTTTAATTGATCTAAAAACATAGTGGACCACTGATTGTATTCATTCACTTTTTTATCCAATAAAATTTAAAGACATGGTAAGAGTAATTATACTACTTCCATTATGAGAGTACATATATCATTTTCTTTATTACATATGTTCGATCCGCTTTTGATGGCCCATTTTGGACTCAAGAATGAATGGTTCACATATTATGCTGGTGGCTTCCGTTGGATAGTTTAATGTTTAAAATTCTACTCCCATGTGAGTTGTCTATCAATCTTTTTGACTTGAACCAGTCAAATATGAACAACTTAATTAGGATGTTTTACTGTTTATTTGCTTAGCTTGATAAAATTGCAAAATGAGTTTAACTCAGTATGCACCTTTAATTAACTATCATATTGATTGCGAGCTTTCCAGTAAAATAAAGAATTTCTTATGCAACCAATCGTGACTCTCATGGTGGAAAAGTGGAAGAGGAGAGAGTATGACTGTGGAAAGGGAGAGGAAAACCATTGTGTAAGCAAAGCTAGGAATAATATTGCATGTTGTGTTTGGATGCATGAAGGAGAAGTTGAGTAACTCTACTAGCTTGCATATATTCTTTTCTTTATTATATATCAATGTACTGATGATTAGTAACCAAAACATGTACACTCTATTAGAATGTACATATGATTTTTTAATTGTATATGATAAAGTTATTAAGTAGAAATATTTCTCTGGTCTCTTTGTAGCTGTAAAGAGAATCGGAGATCATATCAGAGTGGTACCGTGGTGGCCGGCGGCGGGTCGGAGTGGTATGAAGACGCCAACGACGGTGTTTCCTCTTGTAGCCATTCAAAAGCTACTGAAGTCGATATGGGGGAAATGGAACATCCAAGCCATTGTTGTGGCCAGCCTTGCTTTCCAGGGCATACTGGAATTCCTTGCGCCGGTGAGAAAACGGAGCAAGAGAAGCTCCACCCACCTCATTATCTGGTCTGCGTATTTACTCGCCGACTACTTCGCCACCTTCTCCATCGGCCTCATCAACAGCAGCGCCGAAGACCTCGACCACAACTCATCCCGCATCGCCGCCTTCTGGGCACCCTTCCTCCTGCTCCACCTCGGCGGCCCTCACACCATCACCTCCTTCGACTTAGAGGACAACAATTTATGGCACCGTCATCTCCTCACTCTCTTGGTCCAAGTTCTCTCCGTTCTCCTCGTTTTCTACCGCTTCCAAATTTTTATCCACCGGGAGTTACTTATCCCCACCGGGATCATCTTCTTCGCCGGAATTATCAAGTACGCTGAACGCACCCGCTCCCTTTATCTCGCATCTTTGTCCCATATGAAGAAGTCAATGCTGGAAAGTTCAAGCGACAACAAATCGTCATCGCTAAAACCAACAAGCGTTCAAGGATCAGAGGGGGCGGTGGATCGCGAACTGGAGATCATCCAGATGGGGTACACGTACTTCCAGTTCTTCAAAGGATTCATCATCGATCACGGGTTTAGCAACATTGAGGGAAAACTGGAGGCGGTCAAGAACTTGTTCTTGAAGCTGGATCATAAGGAGGCGTATAAAGTCCTGGAAATTGAACTCAACTTCATGTACGACGCCTTGTTCACCAAGATGGCGGCGGTCCAGTGGATGAGTTCATTCGGGTACGGATACCGGTTTGTGGTCCACCTTTTACTTCTCGCCGTGGCGATCATATTCGTCTTCTTCCACAAGCTCCGAGCTGACGATCTTGATATCTCCATCACCTATCTCTTGCTGGGCGGTGCCATTTTCTTGGACTTCGTAGCGCTCGCGAAGCTCGTGTTTTCTCTGTGGACTGTGGCTATAATGTTGGAGGAGGTGGAGAAATGTAAAGCAAGCCCGCGCAAAGAAGAGGGGAACTGGATTTCTGGGCTGACGAGAAACCATAAGATAATCAAAACAATCAAGGCTATAACTACCTGGATTTCCTCGAGGCAACGTTGGTCCAACGAAATCCGGCAGTACAGCTTGATCAATCACTCCATAAAGCAAGGGTGGCCATGTATTGATTCAATAGCCGAGAAATCGGGACTCACCGAGCGACTTGACGCGTGTCGGTATACTGTAACTGATACTGTTGGGTGCGGCCTGTTGGAGCAGGTTTTCCACTACATCAAGAAGAAGGCGGAAACCGGTGAGACTAAAGACGGCGGAGAACCACCGGCAACTCGGGAGGTGGTTCGTTATAAGGATTACGACGATTGCGTGTTAATTTGGCATGTTGCTACGGAGATATGTTATTTCACCATAGACAGTGAGAAGGACGATGATCCAAACCGGAAAATATGCAGAAACATCTCGGAATATTTGGTGTACTTTCTGGTGATGGAGGGGAAACTCACGTCGACAGTCCCCGGAAACATAGGAATGAGATTCAGAGACATATGTTGGGAAGAAGTTAACCACACCCGTGCGGAACTCAAAACCAGGTTAGCCTCTGCAGCTATTATTGGGAAAAACAATTATTTCTTAGACTGCATCAAACACATGGCCTCTGCAAAAATGGAGGACTTCAAGGATTTCTGCACCATCACCAACTGGAAAAACAACAATGCAGGTACGTACTATACTTACCTCCATCAGGCCACTATCTATAAAATTACAAACTCTAGCCAAGTTGGTCAGATTATGGTGACCATAAATTTATAAGTTTGACTACAATAGAATTAACCTATCAGCTTTCTTAGTTTAAACCAACCGACAACTCAAGTTGATTATTCCCTTGTGATCCTTTGTTGACTAATGTCACAAGATGAGAGTGCACACCAAGATTACGAGTTTCCCTCAGGCAGCTTGTCATCGTTTGCTAGCTAGGGTCACATATACTTTGTTAATTAGTGGATTTTCTGTAATTGACATAATTGATCGAAACCGAGGGTGGATTATATTGTTTACTTCGGTCAGTTATTCTGGTCAAAAAATTTCAATCTGTTTTTGTATTATTCGGACCGACCAATTGTTCATCCTTAGGAGTTTTTATACCTGGACATACTCTCAAATAGTGACGGATTTTTTTTGTATTATTCGGACTGACCAATTGCTCATCCCTAGGGGTTTTTATACCTGGACACACTCTCAAATAGTGGCGGAGAGTTTTCTAAAGAAAAAGAAATTACCAATATGTAATGATTTTTACCGTCATCCTTGCATATATACAGATACAAATACAGATACAGAAGCATGTGATAGGAAGCGCAGCACGTGGGAACAAATCACCAGGAAATGGGAAGATAAGAAGCGGAAAGGTGCTTGTGAATGGCTGATAAATGGGTTTACAGAAAAGGAAAACAAAGGTGATGAAAATGATAATCACCCGAAGTCGATATTGGCTGAAGCTGTTAAACTGGCAAAGCATTTGAAAAGCTGCTGCTGCAGCCCAGGTGATGTTGAAAATCCGGCTGCTACATCAGAAGAACACTACAGCCATCATAATCCAAACAGAGCAGACAACAATTGTTGTTCGGAGAAGGAATTGTGGGAAATTGTGAGACATGTGTGGGTAGGGCTGCTGTTGTATGGAGCCAGCCATTGCAGACACGACGTTCAATATCTCAACAAAGGCGGAGAGCTTCTTACGTTTGTGCGCCTTTTGATGCTTCATTTTGGCCTCACAGATGCCTTCAAAATTGAAGGTGGATTCAAACTTGAACCGGAATTGAAGCAAGTAATTCATCAACATAAAAACTTATCACATTTCCTTCCTACAATTATCTCTAATTTTTTACCTTAACTCTTGTTTTTGTATTTAATTTTTTTTTTTTTTTAATTTGGAGGTGAACATGGAAATTTTGTAATAAAATACCATTTTTCTTAAAGAAATGAAGATTTAAATTTTTTTGGATGCATGATGATTGATGGGAATATTCACAATTATTAATTCAGGGTATGCATGCACTAGGTGAACATTTTTCCTGCCTAATAGTAAAGTGAGTTACATGAATCAAAAGTGTCAAATTAGCCTAAAGTAAAAAAAATAAAAATGTATAATATTTTTCTTTCTAATTAATCAAAGCATTAATACTGCAGATATCGAAGGAAATTAAACAAGGTAAACACGCTAACATATTGATATTACATTAAAATTCACAAGGGTATATATAAAATCCTAACAAGTGATCTGAGTTTGGTTGAATGTAATTGAATTGTAATTCAATGAAAGTCTCAATTACATTATTTGGTTGGAGAAAATTACAATTTCATTTTTTTGTTGAATTACAATTTATGAGGATGCTTATGGGAAAGAAAAAAATAGAAGAAAAAAAAAAAAAGTAGCATTAGTGATTGTTATTGTTAATATTATACAAGGACATTATCTTTATATAATACCACTTTTTTTCTTCTCATTGTGTGGACCATGGTCCATGCAATAATGATTGAGCAAACAGCCCTATTCGATTTGGCTGTCTTCACCAAAACTTAAGAACAAGGGTGATGAGATATTGAGATTCGAGGCACATCTCAATATTTATTATTTTTATCAAAATTTTGAGACAAAAAGTAATTTTAGGAACTTCATGTGAGATTGTGAAAGGAACTATTGTTTGTTATTCAGAACAAGACAGCTTATAAATACTGTACATAGAAGGATAAATAGAGAGGAATTATAACCATTAACTAGTCTACATGAATACATTTAGAACAACTAATTAAACACAAAACAATATTAACCACATATATACTAATATACTTACCACTTCAGAATGACCTTTCTGCACATGCACTACAAAAATATAGGAATAATAAAAAATTTATATAAGACCATAAAAATTACATAAGTGTACACATCATACAATCTACTAGATGAATGTATACTAGCTAACTACTCTAAATGTTTCCTGTCACCCAGACATGCTTGAGAGTAGTTAGTGTGCATTCATGTAATAGAATGCAATTATTAGCACGTTCTCACGTTATGTAGGTTCTCAGCTGAACGCAATCATATATATATATATATATATGTGTGTGTGTGTGTGTGTGTGTGTGTGTGTGTGTGTGTGTGTGTGTGTGTGTGTGTGAAGAAAAATAGAATAAGAAAATTGTGCATGGAAGTACTCGTGAGTCGTGACACTCGTGGTAGCACACAAGAGTATAACTAACGTTGTGAAAATGGAGAGAAACCATTGTTCAAGGAAAGGCAGGAATACGAATATTCACTTTGGCGTTTGAATTAAGAAACAAACACTTGAGTGACTTGATTGTTTTGCCTATATTCTTTTCTATATATACATATATATACCTTGTAATAATTCATAACAAAAGTGCAGAAGGGTAACGCCACATCATCAATAACAGAGGGACCAGGTAAGCTTACTCCATTTTATATGTGTATATATGTCTCTGTGTATGTCTCTGTTATATATATATATATATATATATATATATATATATATATATATATATATATATATATATATATATATGGCTGCTAATGTGTTGCAGCCATAAGCTAAACAATGCATATATGCATAATTAATGATTTAATACTCTAATCCTCCCAATGGTTATTGAGTCCTCTATTCATTGCTAATGTCGTATGTGGGCATTGTTTTGTCTAGATTATGTAATTTACGTTTTTTTTTTGTGTATATAAAATTGATACGATCAAGTGATTATCACTAATGCAAAAAAATTATAGCAAGTAGTGAAGGTGTAATTTTATTTTCTTATAAACTGTCATTACATTTTTCAGACATTAATACTGGACTTTGACATTTACCTTTCAACAGCCTCCTGGCAACAATCTCTCTAATAACAGAATGTTAGATTTGGCCTTTACAAGACCAACCAATTTTAAATGTTATTATGGCTCAAACCCATAATAACCTAGCTTTGATATTACTTGTTTGATCAGAAGCTAACTAGCTAGATCGGAGATGAATGACGGCCCCAACTAACGTAGGATAATGGTTCCGCTTAAAGAAATTCAAAAGCTACTGCAGCGGATATGGGGGAACTGGAACATCCATGCCATTGTTGTGGCTAGCCTTGGGTTCCAGTGCGTGCTGGAATTCGTAGCGCCGTTGAGAAAAAGGAGAAAGAAAGTGCCCATCCACCTGACAATCTGGTGTGCCTATTTACTCGCCGACTACTTTGCCACCTTCGGCATAGCCCTCATCAATAGCAACTCCGACGAGGAAGACGCCGCCGGCCCCCTATCGTCCCTCCTGGAGGCTTTCTGGGCACCCTTCCTCTTACTCCACTTGGGCGGCCCCCACGCCATCACCTCCTTCAACATAGAAGACAACAACTTATGGCACCGCCAACTCCTCACCCTCATTGTTCAGTCTTTCTCCGTTCTCCTTGTTTTCTACCGCTACAAAATCTACCGCCACCGCTGCTTAACCATCTCCGCCGGGATCGTCTTCTTCGTCGGAATTGTCAAGTACGCTGAACGGATCCACTCCCTTTACCTGGCATCTGTGTCCCATATGAGGAGGTCAATGCTCGAAAATTCTTCTTCAAGTAAGGAATCCGAGGAACGGGCGCCGGCGAATCTGGACGACGAACTGGACATCCTCCACAGAGGGTACATGTACTACAAACTCTTCAAAGGATTCATCTTGGATCATGCGTTTATCCACATTGAGGATAAACTAGAGGCGATTAAGAAGGTGTTTTTGAGGATAGATGATCATGAGACCGCGTATAAAATCCTGGAAGTGGAACTCAACTTCATGTATGAGTCCATGTTCACCAAGATGGCTGCCGTCCAGTGGATAAGTTCAATCGAATATGCATACCGATTTGTGGTTCATGTTTTACTGGTAGCGGTGACGATCACGTTTTACTTGTGTGAAAAGTCCGACGCTAGTTCTATTCACATCTCTATTACCTATCTCTTGCTGGGCGGTGCAGTTGTGTTAGACTTGGTGTCTATTGGGAAGCTGGTTTGCTCTGAGTGGACTGTAGCTCTAATGATGGAGAAGCAGAAGGAAGAGAGAAATTATAATCGTCTGAGAAGCCGGAGGTGGATAATGAAACGCATCAACACTGTACGTACATGGTTTTCGTCCAGAAAACGTTGGTCCAAACAAATCCGACAATACAGCTTGATCAACCACTCCTCCTTTAAGCAACGGTGGCAACCGTTGGACAAAATAATCAACCGCTCCGGCCTCATCAGAGAGAAACTTGATGCGTGGCACTACACTACAATTCAGCCGGTTGAGTGCCTCCTGCTCCGGCGGGTTTTCCATGCCGTCAAGAACAAGGCGGAGGCAACAGAGACTAAAGGCGGCGGTGATGAACATCGGCGACCTGAGGTTCATCATGAATACGACAATTGTGTGTTAATTTGGCATGTTGCTACGGAGATATGCTATTTCACACCTGCAGCTGCGGCGGAGGAAACAAAAATGAAAGATAATAAAAAACTGTGCAGAAATATTTCGGAATATTTGGTGTACTTTCTGGTAATGGAGGGGAAACTCACGTCCACTGTCCCCGGAAACATAGGATTGAGATTCAAAGACATATGCTGCGAAGAAGTTGAACACACCATTAATGAAATTGTGGCCAGGTTGTCCAAAACAACATTTCGGGAAGAAGGTAATTTTTTTAAAAATTTAATTTAGAATATTTTATGATGTGAATTGTAGTGAAATACGTGCATCATATATATATCATGTCACCATATAATCCACTTCTCCGGCCATGCCATTGCATACAGATACATGTAATAGGAAGTGCACAAGGTGGGAAAAACTCAAAATGAAATGGGAAGGTAAGAAGAGGGGAGAAGTTTGTGAACATCTGCTACAAAAGTTGAGAGACGACAGCGAAAATGGAAGTGCAAAAAGTAGTGATGCTGATGATTATGCTAAGTCCATATTGTCCGAAGCTATTAACCTTGCAAAGCATTTGAAAAGCTGCTGCAGACAAGATCCAGATCCAGAGGGACCAAACAGTATTAATCAGAATGAACAGGATGTTGAAAATCCGGGTTCAGTAGAGGAACTGATCGTTGAAGAAGATCGTTGTTTGGAGGAGGAATTGTGGGAAATTTTGAGTCATGTGTGGATAGGGTTTCTGTTGTATGGAGCTAGCCATTGCAGACACGACGTTCAATATCTCAACAAAGGTGGAGAGCTTCTTACGTTTGTCCGCCTTTTGATGGTTCATTTTGGGCTCAGAGAAGCCTTCAGGGATGATGGTGGTGCTGGTGGAGGATTCAAACTTGCAGCAGAATTGCAGAAAGTAATTAAAGATAGAAACCTACTAAAATTTCTCCCTAAAATCACCTCTAATTTTTTGCCTTAGCTTCATGTGTTGAAGCTTTTTTGTTTTTTGTTTTTTATTCTTTTTTGTTTTGTTTTTGTTTTTTTGTGTTTTTTTTTTTGTTTTTATTTTTGTTTGTTTTTTAACGAAAGTCTACTGTGGAAATATATTTTTAGTGAAACTCACCTTATGATTTTAATTCACAAAGAACCATAAATAAATAAACTAGCTTATTAAGTAGTGGATTTTCGGTAATTAACATAATTGATCGAAACAGAGGGTGGATTATATTGTTTACTTCGGTCGGTTATGCTGGTCAAAAAATTTCAATCCGTTTTTGAATTATTCGGACTGACCAATTGCTCATCCCTAAGGGTTTTTATACCTGGACGCACTTTTAAATAGTGGCGGAGAATTTTCCAAAAGAAAAGAGAAATTACCAATATGTAATGATTTTTACCGTCATCCTTGCATATATACAGATACAGAAGCATGTGATAGGAAGCGCAGCAGGTGGGAACAAATCACCAGGAAATGGGAAGATAAGAAGCGGAAAGATGCTTGTAAATGGCTGGTAGATGGGTTTACAGAAAAGGAAAACAAAGGTGAAAATGATAATAACCCAAAGTCGATATTGGCGGAAGCTGTTAAACTGGCAAAGCATTTGAAAAGCTGCTGCTGCAGCCCAGGTGATGTTGAAAATCTGGCTGCTACATCAGAAGAACACTACAGCCATCATAATCCAAACAGAGCAGACAACAATTGTTGTTCGGAGAAGGAATTGTGGGAAATTGTGAGACATGTGTGGGTAGGGTTGCTGTTGTATGGAGCCAGCCATTACAGAGACGACGTTCAATATCTCAACAAAGGGGGAGAGCTTCTTACGTTTGTGCGCCTTTTGATGCTTCATTTTGGCCTCACAGATGCCTTCAAAATTGAAGGTGGATTCAAACTTGAACCGGAATTGCACCAAGTAATTCAACATAAAAACTTATTACATTTCCTTCCTAAAATTATCTCTAATTTTTTTACCTTAACTCTTGTTTTTGTATTTAAATTTTTTATTTTGGAGGTGAACATGGTAAATTTGTATTTACAAAGATTATGTGGTCTAATGGTATGAGAGTTGGACTATTATTTGAAAGGTTGTGAGTTCAAGCCTTTGTATTAAAATACAGAGTAACATTTTCCTTTTTCCTTTTTCCTTTTTTATATATATATTTATTTACACCACAAATCGCGCCTCGGCGCCGGCCACCAAGAAATTCGGCATAATCGCCTCTAGGTGCCCTAGGCGGTCTACGCGTTGAGTAGGTTTCCGTGGACTAGGCGGTCATCTAGCCGGGAGTTTAAATAATTTTTTTTAAAAAAATCTTTTAATTTTTTTTTTAAAGGGCGCCCCCTAGGCCCCTAGCAATTTTTTCAACCTTACTTATAACGCATGAAACATGTATGGGAAAAACTACCTCTACCAAGTATCAACATGCACTTGCAAGATATAGAGTTCATAGTACAACTAAGATCTCAATCACACACACAGCAAGGCAAATCTAAAACTTCCTACATCATAATCTCATTGCATGACGTTGCCTTCTATACTACCACCAGTAATCCAATTGCACATGGCATACTACCAATAAAAAAGAAGAAGACACGTACGGAAAATGAATACAATGACAATGCATGTTATCCAAAAGATAATTAAGAAGACTTAGAGAAATTTAAATTAATAGTATTTATTTAGATTATCGTTTTTAAACTAAGTATTCGTTATTTAGACTAGCCTTATTACAAAGTAGCAAATATTTATGAGAGCTCATATGTGGTCATGTCATTAGGTGTGGCGGTGTGGTCGTATCTGTGTCGTTGAATCAGTTTAATCTAACGGTAATGGCTAATTATGAGGATTTTAGCGCCTTTTGGTAAGTGGGGGTGTTATGATAATTACAGTGGCCATTTATAGTGGCCGGGTTCCATAACTACACCAACAGTGTTGACAACATGCACCAATAGTGTAATAAAATACACAAAAGTGAAACACACCAATAGTGTATTCTCGAACACTGTATAGTGTATTTATTCATATCTAATGGCGCGTTTTTGGTGATGCGTACTGATAAGTGCATTTATGTCCATATTTTTACCCCTTGTATAGACATATTTTGAGTGACAAACACTTTGATTTTATGCAAAGAAGTGCCTTAATTCCTTTGTTTATATCTTTTGATGCATAAATTGTAGAGTGCAGGCAATTGTGTATTTTTGAGGTATTTTGGATGAATTTGGAGTCAATGAGAGCCAAGTATGAAGCTATGGAGATGGATGCAACACTTCCAAAGGAGTCTAGGGTGGTTCTTTCAATGGTCTTGGTCATGTGGGCAAACCAAAGCAAAAGAGAAGCAAGCACCATGCAATTGCAATTTCCGACCTGCACATCGACATCATGGTTCTTGGACCATATCTCAAGCTAAAAACATCCAAATTACATGATTCTTGTCCCATTGCAAAGAAGACTCAAAGGGCTACAACTCATATTCAGACATCAAAGCCTAAAAAGGAAGCCACAGTGGTCAAAATCATCCTTGAAGTTGAAGTTCCGAACTTACAAATTTCACCCAAAACTGACCACTGTTTGGTAATTTGATCATATCTCGGCCTAGGATTGTCCAAATTAAGTGATTCTTGCGCCATTTGAAAGAAGACTCGAAGATCTACAACTTTCATGAAGACACCGAAACCTAATTCTGAAGAAAAAAGGGTCAAAATTAGCCTGCAAGTCGAAGTTCTGTTGCAGATCAGCACTCGATGCGTCGAGAATTACTCTCGACGCGTCGAATCCTGGCAGAATGTCGAGCAGCCCATCTCTGTTTTCTTTTGACTGCGTTATAACTCATTTTTTGGAGAAAAAAGAGAGGGGGAACCCTAGATAGCAAGAACTCGTTTTCCTTTCATTTCCTTAGCTTAGATTAGTCTAGTATTTCATCTCTAACTCTTCTACAAAGCTTGTAATCATGGATTGGAGTGAGATTCAACCACAAAATCTTCATCTTCAATAGAGAAGCTTCTTACTCTTCTTCTTAAGCTTTTGTGCAATGTTTATGATATTTTCTTGTGCTTTGTTGTTATTTATGCTTATGAAGTGTGAGTAGTTCGTTTTTGGGCTTGGATTAGGGTGATATTGCTAACCTAGATGCTAAATAGGTGATTATTGCATAAGGGGGAAGAACCCTAACCTAGGGTTCATTTGTTTGAGTTGGTTTTATGTTTAATCTTGCTAATATTTGGTACGTAACTCTTATTAGCTTGCTTTTGGATAGTTTTTCTCCACAATGAAAGTTGGGGGAAGAATTTAAGCCTCTCCTTTCTCTAAACCCATTTTCTTTCTATGAAAATAGGGAAGAATTGGGAGCCTAAATGCTTATGTGCTTCAAGAGCTAGGAATTGATACACCATGAAAGTGGGGCAATCCTTGCTCTAATCCTTGTTCTTTAGCTTATGAAAATGGCTTTAAGCTAGGATTTTTATGTGCTTTGCCCTTATGTTCTCTTGGTTAATGTTCTCCCCTAATCCCTAAGTTGTTAAAGCATCTAGAAGGCAACATCCCCTAATTTGAGCCCATCTTTTATCATTGTGATTGCTTGTGTTTAAATTGCATTGTCTTAACTAGATTTTTAGCCCTTAATTGTTGACATTACCCAACCATGAATTTGAATTTGCTTGGATTCTTGTGGGTTCCAATACTTTGGTGCCTAGAACTTTAGTTGTCACTCAAGTACGTGCCATAGTCCCAATCCCTTGCGGAACGACAATTTACACCCGTATACTCACCACCTCTTTCCCTTGCATAAACTTTTTGGCGCCGTTGCCGGGGATTGGTTTATTTGGTTGTATTGTGTGATTGCTTTTTCTTTCTAGCATTAGAGTTTGTGAACTCGAAGGAGATCAAGTTTTTATTTTCTTTTGTTAATTTGTTTTGAATTGTGACTAAGTGCTTCCAAAGTTGTCTTTGCTTGAGTTTGGTTGTAGGTACTCCTCTTGGTGCATGCAAACTAGGTCTAAGGGGAGCCAAGACCTTCACCCTCTCAACCAAGAACTCGAGCTAAGGAGACAAAGAAGAGACTTGCTCGGTTGGTTGAAGGAGTGTGAATCATTGGAGATAAACATGGAGACGGGTGACACTAGCAATCCCGGTCAAATCTCACCCAATGATACAAGCACCCAACATAGCCCGAGACAAGGGGAATTCAATGAAGCTCATGCTAATGTCTCTCAAGTGCCAATTGCTCCCGTTCAAATACCGGCACAAAACTTCATGGCAAATCCTAATGTCAATCCTTATGTTGGAGGAGGAATGGGGTTTCCACAAGCTCAATACCCATTTTATCCTAACATGAATCAATGGGGCATTCCTCAAGGGTATGGGCAACCTCAACAACAACAAGGCCAAGGGGTTGGTATGCAAAATCTTCTTCACCAAATGAACCCCAACTTTGCCAATCCTATGTTCAACATGCCTCAAAACTTTCCACAAGGAGTTCCTCCTATTTTCTATCAAGGTGTTCCACAAAGGCAACCCATGGCGGCCCATCTAGCTCCGAAGTTTGAAGAAGAGGATTGCATTGTTTACCCGGGGGTGGATGCCAATAATTTTGAACTCAAGACTTCTCTTATCCAAATGGTTCAAGCCAATCAATTTGGAGGTTCAAGGGTTGAGGATCCCAAAGCTCATGTTGTTCACTTTGATCGGATTTGCCAAACAATCAAGATGAATGGGATTCCTAGTGATGCAATCAAGTTGAGGCTATTCCCTTTTTCATTGAGAGACCAAGCATTGAGTTGGCTCAATTCCTTTCCGTCCAACCACTTTACAACTTGGGAACAACTTTACAAGGCCTTCATGCAAGAGTATTGCCCTCCTTCCAAGGCCGCCAAATTGAAGAAACAAATTCAAAATTTCCAACAATTTGGAAATGAGAATTTGTATGAAGCTTGGAAAAGATTTAAGGAGTTGAGAAGACAATGTCCAAAGAATTTGCTTACTC